TAGAGCTAACAATAAAAGATTTATTCTGCGAAGCCATTTCTGAAGACCAACTAAGTAAGAGATAAAAGAGAAGAGTTTGAGAATTGAGTTTTTGAATAGAGGAATCTATTGTTAGTCAACTTTATAAGTTACACTCAAAATATGGATATATTGCAGATCCAATTTTATTAGAGGCTTTTATTTACTCTTTTAGAAAATATTCTTCGTTTAATATGAAAGATCGCTGGAGTTGCTTGCGACATCATTGGTCTTTCAAGCCAATAAAGGTTTGATGATTCCAGATCTTTTACTTTCTGAGTTTTGTGATTTTGTATATATGTTAGGTTGGATTTGTTTATTTATTTTAACATATTTAATAAAACTCTCTGGTTCTTTTTAGACTTGTGAATGAAATTCGTCATTCCGTTCATAAACTTCATTTATCTAGTTCGCGGCTATTTTTGTTCAAGAACCATTTAATATTTTCTAGTCCATTGTTCTTTTCATTTACGATGATTTTTTTCAACTTCTGCAATTGTGCTTTCGTTTCGTAGTTAGTTTTTAACACAACGTTTAAAAATTTCACGTGAAAAGAGGCTTCTTTACACGCCCATGCATTAGAAGCATTGCTAATGTGCCATTTTCATGATTAGTGGCAGTGAAAAGTCGTTAAATTTCGCACGAGTACAAAAGTAAAAGGCCAGGCAAGAAATTATCGAGTTCCGGCTATGCTATACTCTAATGAAAATTTTCATGCATTGACGTCTGTTAAATGTGGTGAAAACAATCGTAACGAGTCGTAAAATGCTCTGGCCGGGCAATCATCAAACCGATTTTAATCGCAGTTCTCTTTGGAAAATCTCTAGTTGGCTGTCAAATTTCAATTAGACAGTTTTTGTTTATTATTGGTATTATTTGTACTTGTAGTTTCGGTTTCTAATTCAATCTTGTGACAACACGCAAATGTAATTTGAGACAGCTTGCGTGCTGTCTTAGTTATGATAGTATACTATGAATAATAGATGGATGTGCAAATTTGTGTTATTGATAAGAAGTGCGCGAGTTCCGACGACAATTTAATGCGCCATTATATAAATATATGCGTAGTATGTATTATTGTAGTAGGTTTGTACTTTTGTGGAAAATTTTATGCCATTCACTGACACTGAGATGCGCAACGCAGTTAGCTTTGTACGAGTACGTTTATTTTCCCTCCATTTTGGTTCAATGTCAAACGCAAATCTAGCCGGACCCTGTCTATTGTTCGATTGTTGACATGATTCGAAACATTCGAAATGGAAAAACAGATGCGAGCGAATGAGTTTATTGTGCCATAGAGAACAGTGTGCGGCTCAAATTAAGTGTGACAATTGAAATACATAGTAATACAAATCGCAAAAAAGACATAGTGAAAGAAAATGCAGCTGGAAATGAGAGTGACAGCGAAATAAACAATAATACGAGTACTCGTAGCCACAACAGCTGTCAGATAAATAAATAGCGCTACATAGATGTCACAGCTTTTGATGAGCATGAACATATGAACACACGATTATATATGTATATATTGTATATATAGTACGTGTGTATATCTTTGATTGTTTGATCGCTACGCTTGAGTGGCGCGACATTAGCGACAACATGTAATTTGGTTAGCATGTGTTTTTGTCATAGCCACAACGTATACTTAATATTTGCTTGTAATTCACAATTTACATCATCAAAGCATCAGAGCTAAGAAATCGAGCACAGCCAAATAATAATGAATACATCACGTGCATTCATTTAGAGCGCACTAAAAACCACATAAATCATACAACAACCTATCCTCTTATATAAGCCAAGAAATGCGTTCACTAATGACCGACTACTCCGTTACAATTTAACATACACTTTAAACTATATTTTCGTCGTCATCGCGTGCTCTTTCGATATGAATGCTAATCAAGCGCACAATGACACCAAAACAAACGACCGCGCCCATCCAATTTCTACTGCACCAATAGAAATTACTTAGGCAGGAGGGCCGGAAGTTGGGGGGTCTGTGCCGATAGTCTAATATGGGTCTTGACGGCACTGCAGTTGTCAACAAATTGCAAGCTGGTAGCTTGACAAATGACTAGTTTAGTTTGCAGTATCAGCTAACATATTTTAAATGGATTTTTAATTGACGAACATTTAACCACAAAAAGTTTCAAGACGTACCTAAAACAAAAGAAGAACTAAAAGACGAACAATTAATATGTGTGTTTAGTAGCTAGTCTTAAATAATTTTGTTTTCACGCTGAAATACTGTGAAAAGACGATAACCTCTTAAGTATCAATAATCAGAACAGAACCTCCAAAACAAATATTTTATAATTATACCAAATTTTGAAACGAAAAGCATCTCATCTCCATGGTAGTTAATAATAAAACTGTTTCCATATTGCAACACAAAAATATCAAATTTGTTAGAATAGAAAAAGGATAGAAATGCTCCACTCCAAAGAGCATTTAAGATATTTGGCTGTAAATATGTTTTCTTAGAGCTAATCTTCCACTGCTGCTTTGCTAAATCGTCTTTTTATATAGAAACCAAATTTCGATTTCAATTCGAGTTTAAATGTATGAATATGTGATCCAATTAGAAAATAGGAACAGAACTGGTTATGCTCTATTTCTCTGCATTTCAAAAATATCTACGCATTTGGTCCAAAACAGTAAATAATTGCATTCCCGCTTTAAATATGATTAGTTTTTAAATGGAAATATATCCAAATATACTTTCGTATTCCAGAGTTCACTCTATGCTTTTGAATACACGTCATTCCTCTTCAGAAGAGTTTAAAAGAATGTTTCCGTAAAAACAATAACTTCATTTTGGTCCATTGAAAAGCACGAAATTCGAACACTCCACATAATTTGTGCACATTTTCAAATCCATCATCGATATGAACAATAGGGGCATGGCATTACCCTGAAAAAACGACCCATATTACTAGTGAAAATTTCACAGCTGCCCATAAACTGTGCACGCCTTTGAACGCATGACTTTCATTCTATTGAAAAGCAAACTGAACACTCACGGATAAATGACTAATGCAAAAACTATTAGCACTAACAAGGCGCTTGACCATAGAAAAAGTAATAATTAAAATTCCAAATAGTTAACACCCTCCAACAACAATAAGGCACAATAAAATTAATGCAAACAGCCAACCACACACACACACACGCCCTAGCAGTCAAGTTCAAAATATTTAGAACCCTGAGCGAATAAATAATATATGTAAAAGCAACAACAACAGCGAATGAGGTATATATCTAGACAATGCATAATTCAAAGCCAACAGATTTGATAACAAATAAAACAACGAGCTTCTGAATTTTTTTGGGGGTATGTCTCTCAGTCTCTTCGTCCAGTCCATTTGTTTACTAACTAGTCTGCGTTTCAGTTTTTGGAATGTTGTAATCTTTTCAATGGCCAAGTGCGACGTTCAGGCACGTCGCTAACATTATTAACCTGCAAAATATTTGACTATCAAATTGTCTTGTGGATGTTTGTCTGTCTGTGTGTGTGCGTGTGTGCTGTACGTGTGTTGTTTGTACCTTGCTACCTTGTGGCAGTGTAACACAAAAAAGTGTTTTTTTCACCAAAAGGGTTAATTAAGTTGCAGACGCGACGTCGAACGCCACTTGCCAAAATCGTGACAAATTTGTTCAAAAGCGTTGGCTTTAATTAAATCATAAGTAAGCTTTTAGCGACACAAATTTAATTGAAGTCATTTTTTGTCCACTCATTTTGTTTGTAGGTCTGTCAAGTGTTACATTTTGTGCTGTGAGTTATAGGCTTTCATAAGCTGGTTAAATGTACATATGAACATTTTTTATTCAATGGACATGTTTTGTTTTGTTGGTTGAATGGAAGTTACCTTTCCGTTATATTTTATTTGGGATTGCATTTTGTTTTGCTTTTAAACATGTCTTCATTCCAAGCAATGAACGCTGCCGATGAGTATTAAGCGGAATGGAACAAGACAATTCTTCAACATGGCAGTTTGTTCTGCTTTCAAACATGTTTTCATTCCAAGAAATTAAGAGTATGGATTGGAATTTGCCGGAATGGAACACCTAAAATTCAAACATGCTTTCCGATTAAAATACCGAGCCAGAATCGATTAACCATTTTTGAAATACAAAAAACTCTATCAGAATCAAAGCATTTTAACACAAAATCTTTATAAAGAAACAAACGATTGTGCCCTTATTTTCAAATTAGCACGTTAAAACCATTATTAGATTTTATTTCCGAGGGAGGAACGTTAACAATTTTATTCCACATATGACAACAAATAGTAAGAAATATCATATAAGGTTATCTTCTAATTTGAACAGATCAACAGATATGTTTTACCTATACATATAGTATATCTGAACTCTTCTGTTGTTTTTTCATGCACGGAATATAGGTTTGCTATATTTTATCTTGAATGAAACTTTTTTACTGAATTACAATTGCTGGTACGAACCAGAACCATAGTTTCGATTCAGTTCGATTCCTTGTTTCATTTCATTATATAATAATAATAATATTTTGAGTCAGTTCCACACGTTCCAAAATAATGTATTTCAATATTACGCATTTACGGATTTACTAATCCATTCAAACCACTCTGTCTGTGCCTTTCTGTACCTAAATCTCATTGGTGTCGATTCTCGTAGCCATATCCACCACATTGTCATGCAAATCTGATATTTTTGGTTTGAACCAATTTGAAACGGTTTGGCCTTGAAGGTTGCAGTAGAGGTGCGTGGTAAACTTTTGCATAGCAATGAGAAAAGTAACAGATAGACGCAGAAATTTGCGTTTACCGACTTAAGTATCTTAGTATCTACATACTCGTATAATACAAAGGAATGGCTACATAGTAACAGCAAGAGATACACGCGCTTGTGAATGAGTGTAAATGAACGACGAACGCTCAATGGTGCTAAATAATGAATTAATGAAAAATAAAAATAAAGAAAGAGTGACTTACGATTTTTCATTTAAAAATTCACCGCGCGTAAATTCGGAAAGTCGACGCGATTTGCCTTTCTTGGCCGACGTCGTTATATTATTCAAATTTGCCGCTTTATTATTGTTAGACTTTGGTGTTGCTGTTGTTGTGGGGTTTTTGCAGTCGCAGCCACAGCCTATTAAATTTGGGCACGTTTGCTCGCCAATGACAGACTGTTGCTGCTCATTGTTGCTGCTGGACTTGCAGCAATGCGATCCAGTGTCTGCGATGCAAGTGCATTTGAGGGGGGTCTGATTGGACCATCGTCGAAGGGGTTGCTTCACTGTTGTGTTGGCGCCGCAATTGTCCAGCGAATGCTTCTTCATGAGCGCCCGCTGCTGTTGTTGCTGCTGCTCCCGTTGCTGCTGCAGGCAGTTGTGCTGCTTGAGGCAGCGACGTGGGCGCGGCGGCGAGGGCGTTGCTGGCGGCGAAATGGCAACTGACATGGAAATGGTATCCAATGAATTTGATTTCATTAGTGCATTGTGGCACTCAGCATCGCTGCTATTACTATTACTATTATTATTATTATTTTTGTTGCTGTTGCTGCTGCTGTTGTGGGTGTTGGTGTTGTTGTTTTTGGCATGGTTCGTTGCCCGATGCTGGGCAATGATGCGTGTGTAAAGCTCCTCGGAGTCCAGCGGCAACAACAAATTGGTGACACCAATACGCCGCTTTGCCTGACTGCGCTGCTTGCCATGCGGCTGCTTCTTGTCGGGCTTTGCATCATCGCTGGCATTGCCATCGATTGTTGGATTGCCGGTCGCTGTTGTTGCTGGCGTCGCCGCTGCATCGACGGCTTCGTTGTGAGTCGTCGATCGATTGTAGGATAAAATATTGGACAGACGCCGCATCTTTGAGGACTTGCCGCTGCTGACTTTGGCATCGCTGGGTACATCGTTTGTTTCCTCTTTATTGTTGTTGCTGCTGCTGCTGTTGTTCTTATTGTTGTTGCCATGATGCGTTTGTGTTGCCGGTGTGCTTATCTGCTGCTCATCCACATGACTGACCACAAAACGCGTTGCCTTTCCCGCCAGCGCCTTCGGTTTGGATTCGATGGCGGTCGAGTCGCCGCCGGCATCCAATTTCTCTCCTTGTAGGATATCATAAATTGTGCCATATTTGTGCGTGACGTGCGTGCCCAAATTTGCAGAAATCGCCTGCTTTGGCAACTTTGGCAATGCCTCCGCATTTGTACTGACCAATGGGGCTTCGTTTGCGGCATTTGCCGCATCCTGTTGCTGTTGCCGCAGCCGCTGTTGTTGCCGCTGAATAATGTCATAAATCACATCGTCTGATTTATGCATTCTGACAGAAGTGGCTGTTGCTGTTGTTGCTGTTGTTGTTGTTGACGTTCCATTTGTTGCTTCCTGTCTGGGAACATCACGCTCCAGTATCGAGCTCAGACTCTTGCGCTGCCATTTGTCGCAGCTGCCGCTGAATGAACTCTGCGATGATTTGCGATGCAATATCTCATAGATGGTGCCATAGGTCATGTATTTGTCATACTTCTGATATGTCAGATTGTAGATATCATTCTTGCGCTGGATAATATCGTAAATGGTGCCATAAATTAGTTTGTCATAGATCTTGAAATTGCGTCTATAATTGGCGCTATTGTACTTGCCATTGCCGGCAAGTTTCGCATACGCCTGCAGTTGCAACTGTTGCTGATCGGTAGGTGTTGTTGGTGTTGTTGTAGATGCTGCTGTTGTTGCTGTCGTTAAGCTAGACTCTGGAACAATCTTTGGCTCTTTGCTTGAGTTGCGACGTGGCAGAAAGTATGAGGCAAAACTCTTGCGATGCCGCGAATTCTGACGCTTAAACGGTGTGGCAGTGGGTGTGGTGTCTGTGGCACCACAACATTCCACCGCATGTTGCTCGGATTCGATCTCGCGCACCAGACGCTTAAATTCCTCATAAGATGTGCGACGTTTGTGCGCCTTTTCGCGCTCCTTAGCCACAAATTGCTGATCAAGTATTTGCGATAGAAAATCGGAATTCTTGCGCATTGCTTCGGTGACAGCGACCGCTGGCAAGGTAGCTGATGCTATTGCTGCGGTCGCTGTTGCTGGTGTCGTTGTTGTTGCTAGATCGTCGCCAGTGGTATCCATTTCATCCGTGGCCACTACTGCTAACGAGCTGCCAGCCGTTGCCGTCGTTGCAAACTCGTTTACGCAATCCGGTTTGCTGTTAACACTGTCATTGTTGTTGTTGTTGTTATTGTTGATTCCGTTGCCACCATCTCTGTGGTTGCTTGTGGTTTCTTGTTCTGATATTGAGGCGAGAGCGATCGCAGTTGTTGCTTCTGCTGCTGCCACTGTTGTTGCTGTTGTTGCCGCGGCATCAGCAACACTGTGAGTTTCTCTTTCTTCTTTACACCTCGACAACTCTTGCAAAGTTCTGCGCCGCGTCAAGCGCTTTTCCTGCATGGCTGTTGTTGTTGTTGCGGCTCCTACGGTTGCAGTTGTTGTTGCATCCGATGCGCCGGCAAACATGGCTTTGAACTCCTCATAGGATTTGCGGCGATTGCGCGACTGCGTTAGACATTCCTTGTAATTGCAACGCGCAATTTTCTCACCCACAGCATCCTCAAGACGTTGACTTTGTGGTGCCGCCACCGCTCCCGCAGCTCCTGCGGCAGCTGCCGCCGCTGCAGCCAACGCATCTAATTTATTCTGCATCTCAATGAAACCCGAGTCCATGGAGCTTATCGTGCAGGTTGAATCGAAGCTGGTCTTGCGACTGGAACTATTGCTACCCGGCGAGGATGGCTTTGGGGGTGTCGGTGGTGGCGTCACGAGCAACGCCAGCAATGCATCCTGCTCTTCGGCAGTGGGCGCACACAACAAATCCACATCGACACTATCACAGACATTTGACTTTTTTGGCATTCGCGTGGCGATGCCTTGATAACCATCGACCACCTCATCGAAACTTATTAGATCTCTAACTATTTGCAACTCTTCGCTATCAGCACAAACATCACAATTGGCTCCCGTCACAGCTGCCGGTTCCTCTGGCACGGCCTCCAACATGCTTGCCTCAGTCTTGCTCAATGGGCATGCGACAGGCTCACGAACACGATCACGATCACGAACACTACCAGCTATATCGGTATTAGTTACGGGTGTATCAGTAGCGGCTTTTAGATCAGCCTTTGATTTACACTCACTGTCGCGTTTTTTGCTTACTACTGCGTACAGAGGCGCGATCGATATTGAATTGAATGTAGTTTCCGTTTTTGTTGTTGTTGTTGTCGTTGGCTTCGTTGTCGTCGTCGTCGTTAGTGTTGTTGTCGCAGTTGATTGCGCGCTCGTCGTTGTTAACGCCGCCGCTGTTGCCGACCAACTGGCCTGCATGCCGTTCGCTGTCGTCGCTCTAGTGGCCGGCATGCCCATTGGTATGCCCCCACAAGCGCCCCCACCCACGCCACCGCTCGTGCCACTGGATAGCGTGTAGCTGCGATTATGAAAGATCTTCACACTGTGCATCGGTAATTTGTGATGACGATTTTGTCGATTACGTGCAATGCCCATCGAAACCGTACCATGCTGCCTGACCCGCTGCTGTTGTATCTGCCGTCGGCGGCTATATTTGGTGGCTATATTGTAGACAGGATCCAAGTCGACAGGTGGTGGCGGCGGTTCGTTGACCGCCGCTGTCGTTCTCATCGGCACTCTCTCATAGTCGTGCTGCTGCTGCTGCTGGCTGCTTCGCACGCAGCTCTTTAGATAACGCTGCAGTCTTCGATTGCAAGTGCCGTTATTGCTGGACCCACAACAGCTTGTATAACGGGCACGTTGGGCCGACGAGTGACTACGCCCGCTGGTCGCAGCGTAATGTTCATTCATGCATTTGGCACAGCAAAGAAACTCGTACAGTATCTCCCCATCCGTCGAGCTTGGGGGCGAGGGTGGCGGCGTGAATGTCGAGTATTTGGGCTCCAGCAGGAATTCCAGTTGCGCTGCCGCAGCAGCAATTGCAGCTGGCGTTGACTGAGCAGCCGGCAAGATGTGGTCACTAGTATTGTTGTTACTGTTGTTGTGGGCTGTGGTCACCGGCATAAGAATGTATGTGTTCTTAAAATTCTTTTGAGTGGAGCTCTGCTCTACATTCGAGTTGTTGGCGGGCATTGTTGGCATCGTTGTTTCCACACAGGACGTTGCCTTCTCCTTATCCTTCGGCACTATGGAGCTCTCAATGCTTAGGCCGCTGTCCAGCAGCATAAAAGTGCCATCGGCAGGCAAGATGAGACGGCCCTCGGCTGCCGCACTGACCAGCTCCCGCAGTGCCAGGACCTGCTTCTCAGTGACATTGCCCTGCAATTGTATGCCGTGCAGGGCAAATGCTGTGGGTCGATTGTTGACCGAATTGGGATCGGTGCACCAGACAACGGGCATGGCCGTCATTGTGGATTAATTATAAGCGGGCAAGTCTATGATGGCAATAGCTTCAAATGATTTGTAGCTGCAAATTGTGGCGCGTGTATAAAATGGGAAGAGAAAAATGTATGCATTAAAAATCAAAATGTTGCGCCTGCGCAAACCGTTCCGCATAATCTGTTTTAATTTTATTTATTTATTTTTTTTGCTGTTTCATGTTTCATATTTTGTGGACAATCTGTGCGGCTGATTGTTTTCTTATTAACATTTTATTTTTCTTCTTTTTTTTTGCCTTGCTGTTATGCTAAGAATGTGATGGCAGCAGCAAAAAAAATATCCGGTTCTTGTTTGTTGCGACAAAGGTAAGACTATTATGTCATGGCTTGTGACTCAAAAAGCCCACCATATTCAACAAAAAGCAAAGAAAAAATTACATATGTATGTATGTTAATTGCAGAATAAACTGAGACATAATGAAAGTAAAATTCAATTCTGTAACGGCTGTAGTTGACTGACTAGCCTAGACTTTAGCCCAAAACCCGTCTTGAAAATACAATCAAAGGCGGAATACATTTGTTGAGATCATAATTGCAAATCTTGCAGTTTCTTCAACGATACACGAAAGGCGCAGCACGCTCCGGCTTCATAAAAATGACAGCCTCCAAAGAAGAGAAGCCCAGCTGTTGGCAACTTTGCTCCATTGTCTGAGCTCTATTAGTCAAGTGCAAGCAAACAAAAAGTGGAAGATGTGGAAGAAGACGATGGCGCGGGTTTAAGCTGACAACCCCAACTAAACTGCTGAGATCACCAGCGAAACTGGAACTGGTAAGCTGTGGGGAACATAGGCTTCCATCATAACTCACCCACACTGTAGAGCAAACAAAAGCAAAGGGACATTATTGCTGACATTTAAAAAAACCTAATCAATCAATCACTCTTTAAACATAGATGGGTTGAAAGGTAGATACTCGCTGGATAACATGGACGTGGAAAGACTCTGAATCTGTAAGCGACCCAAACACACCTATTTATCTACACGCGCCAACAATATTTCTTTTTGCAACAATTTTGGTTTGGTTTTCTGCATAAATTGTAAATAAAACGCATTCAATTCCTATAAAGGTAACCTTGATTTGTCCATCAAAGTGTATGGCAAGTGTAGATGGCATCAAATCGAATCTAATTTAAATGTTTTGATTCGTGCGCGCGCCATTTTGTGCAATTTTTGGCATTTTATGCGAATTGCATGCATGGGAAATATTCACATTAAATCGACAAACAATTTATTTAGTGTTTGAATTGAAATGCTAAAATGTTGAATCTTTTCAAGTCTTGTAGCTTTGCATAATGCCATTGCTCTCTATATATGTACATATATAAATGGCGCTTAGCCATGAGATGAGATGATACGTAAGTATTAGAGATCATTTTCTTATGGTTGTTAAGCAATGAAATAGACTTGAGAGACAGAGAGCGGGAGAGATGTTAAAGAGTTCTGTTCCAAAAGTGGACCGATAAAGCTATAGCCAATGTAAAACACACATAGATACAAAAGTATCTAGAGAAGCCTACACGCATACATACTACTTATTTTCATTAATGAAACTGAAGGCAACTGCTGGCTCTTGCAGAGTCGAGTCGGGTCAACAGTCAGCTGAGAAACAAGTTTTTTTTGGCAATAAAAATGCTTTAAGTCAGCAGCAGCCGCAGCCCTGGCTTTCTGATTTATTACTGCAGCCAAACAATTGATGGAAAATTTTGCGTTGTGGGCGTGAGGTGAGCAACACGAATGATGTTTTTGAATCGAAATAAGCCTCATTATTATGTCATATGCAAGTGCTGTTTTGGTTTTTGTCTCATTTTTTTTTGTTTTTTTTTTTTTTTGTTTTGGTAAATTTATTCAGTAAAAGGGGAAAAAAGCAGCAATTGCTGCCAATTTGTGGGCCAACTATGAACAAGCATTGAAAGCGAATTGAAGGCTGCCGCTGCTTCTTTTTTTTTTTGGTACGTTGAACTATCGTTGTTGCCATACTATATAGCATGTACTTACATTGATATTGTCTGCAAGCAAACAGAATGTAAATATGAATGAGAGAGTGAGTGTTTGGTCCAAGGCTGCAACACACTATAAAAGTGGTTGGTGCAGAATAAATGGAAAAACTTGATGCATGCAGCACTATACTCGTGCTCGTGGTCGTACTAGCACTAGTACGAGTAGCAGCAGTTCAAGTTTATGGCGAGTGGGAACGAGTTGCCGACAAAAGGTAAACAAATCGCCAACTTAAGCACTTGAGACAAAACGGTTTAGAATCTACAAAGTAATGCACTCGAAACTCATGGACGCTGCATCCTTTTCTTTTTGTATATCTGCAGCTTCTTCTATTTTATGGGAATGCAGGTGCAAGTGGCAAATTGATCGGCTTGATGGTTAAATACTGCTGTGCTGCGGCAATGAAAAGTTGGCAGAAAAAAAAACAGAGAAGATAAATAAATAAGCAAATAAATTTAAGCACCAGCAAAATGTCAATGCCAGAGCATTGAAAGAGACTGAGAAACTGCATTAAGACGTAATATTTCGCACTCGTATGTATTATATTGACAACTGATTTGGTGTTTTGCATACCCCCCAGCTTAAAAGTGCACTCGATGAGGGCAAAGCCGTTGTTAAATGTTACATTGTCAGACGGTGACTCATTTAGTGGGCCAAAACAATAGCAACAACAACCTCAATACGAGTAAGTGTAGCATTTAAGCAAATATGCATTATATATTTCCAATACTATATATGTATGTACGAATATGAATATATGCGCATTTCTATACGTATGAACAACATACATGTACATATACTCGTGTTTGTGTAAAAAACAGCTGTGAACAAAATAATAACACAAGCGGAAACCTGTTGAACCAGACTCAGAAAGCCTGCACTGATAAGGGGCACTTTTTAGCTGCTTTGTTAAAGCTCGAACACAAGAACTAGTCGACAGTCAACACAAAGCAAAATAAAAAAGAACAGGTGCGCCAAGAATGGCCACAACTATCGAATACCCTAGTATTATTAATATGGCAGGGGTGTTTGGCACTACCGCACATTCTGAGCACATTCGCTTTGGTAAAGGCGATTTGGTGAAATGAAGGTTTCTTCATCTTCTATTCATAAACGTGAAGGCAATCTGATGCCAGCTTTAAGAAACAGATGAGTTCCTTGGACTGCTTTACATTAACTTAGACATCCTGTTTAGCGAGTTTATTTTGCTGGGTGGAAACACCAATTTGTCTTGGAAGGCCAATATACATAAAAATATTTATTATATACGTGCATAGACATGGGCGTAAAGTAATTGAATTTTCTTATTAGAATAACATTGGTAGCATGTGGCAGCATTGCCTTAAAAAACTTCAATTAATTTTGCATATAATTCTCTTCATTAAAGCGGTCATCAGCCATAATCCGTTGAATTAAACTGAAGTGTTCAATTGACTTTGACGTCCTATTTTTTCCAAATCACTCCAATTAATCCCCTTGTTGGGTCATACAAAGCGAGTTCTCAGTTTTTGCAAGGCTGAAGCAGAGATTTCAGTTGAATTTCGAGTTCGACTTTGGCTCCAACTGGTGTTAAACTTTTAAAAACTGTGTCTACACGATCACTAACCATGAAAGTGTGTTTCCAAATTTGCTTTCTTCAACTCTAGTTTGGAGTAAATGACAAGAGTTTTACACAAATATGTAATTATGTATATATTGCGAGGTCTGTCTTTTCCTGAGTCTGACATTGCCTTTACGGGCTGGGGTAAG